CCAAATGCTTGGCCAGTCGATTGGACCTCACTGTTACTTCTAGAGGCAACACAACATCATTCCCATACACCAACTCATATGGAGTTATTGTTGTGCTATTTCTTTTTGAATTTCGATAAGCCCAAAGCACTTCTGACAAGAGTTATGCCAATCCCTAGGATTGTCTTTAATCATCCTTTCTAAAGTGTTGACAATCTTGTTTGTTACCTCAGCCTACCCATTTGCTTGAGCATAATAAGGTGAGGAATTCAATATTTGAATGCCATAGTCTATGGCAAACCTTTTAATCTCATTCCCATTAAACACTGTGCCTTGATCGACAGTTATGGATTGGGGTAAACCACACCTATGGATCACATTCTTCTTTAAGAACTCAATGACTTGAGTCTGTGTCATCACTTTTAAAAGTACTGCTTTTACCCATTTGGTAAAGTAATCAATGGCCACTAGCAAATAAGAATGTGCTTTTGAAGAGGTTGGAAAAATTTTTCCTATCAAGTCCATGGCCCATCATCTAAAACACCATGGTTTCACTACTGAATGAAGACTTATGGCTAGAACTTTTTGAATATTGCCATGTTTCTGGCAATTCTGACATCCTTCTGCATACATTATGCAATCTTTTATGATAGATGGCCAAAAATAACCATACTTGTTAATCAACCATCTCATCTTATCACCAGCCTGATAGCCCCCACAAATTCCCTCATGTGCTTCAACCATGGCTTTCATTTGGTCTAACTTACCAATACAGAGTAAAGTCAAACCATCACGAGCCTTCCTAAATAAGTCATCTCCTATGATGACATAATTTAGGGCTTGATATCTTACCTATCTATCACCCCCTTCACTAGGATTCGACAGGTATTTTATTAAGGAGAATCTCTAATCTTCCTCTGTCACATCCAAAGTAAAAATAGGCAAGAAATTTCTACACCTATTCTTAAGTGCAGAAAAGTTTCTTCTCTTCATTCGAATCACCCTTTCCTGAGCTTCCTTAGGTATTTTTAAACCAGAAGCTGCTTGAGCCATCTCATTGGCTTCTTTATTCTCTAATCTATATCTGTGTGTAAATGTGACATGGTCAAAGAAACTGATTAACCATTTGACCTCAGCTAGATACTCCTCCAGAGCACCACTTACACACTTGAATTCTCCCAAGACTTGCTTAATGACCAACTGTGAATCCCCTAAAACTTGAAGACTTCTTATTTTGAACTCTATGGCCAATTATCAAAGCTTCATATTCAGCTTGATTACAAGACTGAATATGTTGTGTCTCCAACTGATATGCAAATTGGTATATTTGCTTATTTGGTGCAATCAAACACAATACTTGCTTCCACTCCTTTATCTGTCTTTGAACCATGAAACATGAACTTCCAAGGTTCATTCTCCACCATATTGATTTCATATAAATCTAAATCGACAGATGTACAAGGGTGTTTTGTCAAAAAATTAGCCAAGGCTTGCCTTTTGACTGCTTTTTGTGGCACATACTTGAGACATATTCAATTAATGCTAAAATCCACTTACCGTGTCTTCCTCTCAAGATTGTTTTAGACAACATGTATTTGATAACATCTGTTTGTGCTATCACAAACACTTATGTGGGCAACATATAATGCCTCAGTTTAATGACTGCAAAATAAAGTGCCAAACATAGCTTTTCAATAGAGTTATACCTAGTCTTAGCATTATTTAACCTTCTACTTAGGTAGTAAATGGCATGTTCATGACCTATATCATTTTCTTGAGCCAATAAACAACCAATCGATAGGTCAGAAGCTGAGATGTACAGCTTCAAAGGCTTTCCTGCCATTAAGGGCATAAGCACTGAAGGGTTTGTCGGGTATCTTTTGAGTAAATCAAAAGCTTCTTGATGGCATGCTTCCCACTTAAACTCATAGTTTGACTTGATTTTTATCAAAGGAGAAAATGCAAAAGTTTTCTTAGCTAAATTGGCTATGAATCTCCTCAAAAAATTCACTTTTCCAAGAAAACTTTGTAGCTCTTTTTTGTTGGTTGGGGATTTTCCTCCTAAAATGGCTTTGGCTTTATTAGCATCCACTTCTATCCCTTTGTGATGTACTAGGAAGCCCAGAAAATTTCCAGCAGATACCCAAATGCACACTTCAAAGGGTTCATTTTCAACTTGTAGGTCTTCATTCTTTGAAATGTCTACTGCAAATGTTCCAAATGTTCATCAAAACTGTCAAATTTAATGGCTACATCATCTATGTAGACTTCTAAATATTTTCCAATCAAATCATGGAAAATGAAATTCATTGCCCTTTGATATGTTGCTCCTGCATTTTTTAATCCAAAAGGCATGACTATCCATTCAAATGTCCCCAAAGCACCAGGACACCTGAAGGCTGTCTTATGTGTATCCTCTGGGTTAATAAAAATATGATTATATCCAGCATGACCATCCATAAAGGACAAAATCCTGCTTTTGGCTGCTAAATCCACTAACAAGCCAGCCACTGGCATGGGATATTCATCCTTGGGAGTTGCTAAATTTAGATTTCTAAAATCTATGCACACTCTTAACTTGCCATTTTTCTTCATAACAGGGACAATATCAGACAGTCACTCGACATGCTTGGCTGTTCTAATAAAACCTGCTTTGAGTAACCTTCCAATTTCCTCTTTGACCAATAAGGTGGCTTCATTGGTCATCCTTCTTGGTGGTTGCTTATGGGGAAGGAAATTTCCTTTAATTGGGTGCCTATGCTCTATCTAATCCAGACATTTCTTCATAATTCCATGCAAAGCAATCCTTATACTCATAAAGCAAACCAACTAGTTTGCTCTTACATTCATTAGATAGATTAGCATTTACATAGATAGGCCTCTTACAGGCCTTACTCCTTAAGCTACATTCTTCAGATGTTCCAGTTGCACCTCTTTATAACTCAGAGGGCTACTGTCAATAACACATTCTACCCAAGAACAATTGGCCAAACACTTAAGGCTAAACTTACTCTCTAAAAGAAATAAAAAAGCCTAGAAAAAGTAGATCTAATTACTTTAGCTTTCTCATCCAGCTTGTCTTCTTTTGTCACTTGTACTTGTATTACTCTTGATCTTCAGCAATCTCTTCTATCACAATCCTTTTTTACTTCTGCATCAAGCTTTGCTGGCTAATTCCTGGCTCATCTACTTAAAACCTTCATCAACAAAGACCTTGAACTCCTCATTTGTCAAACTTTTTCCTTGGGACTTAACTTCTTCCTCATCAATCACAACTGGACCCAAATCCTCATCATACAGCACAACTTTTAAGTTATTAACATCAGCAACAAAAGGATTTGCATTTGCCCAGTAAATTTTCATCCCTCATTTACCATCACTAGTTAAGAAGATCAATGCCTGATGCAGCGAAGAGGGTACACAACCATAAAGGTATATCCAATCTCTACCTAGTAGCACATTATAGTTAAAAGTGGAGTCTATTACAAAGAAAGTTATTCCCATTGACCTGGAACCAACCTGAAGTTGTAAAGCCACTATATTTCTAGCCTTAGATGATTCACCAACAAAATTACTTATGTTCACATCAGTAGGAAGCAAGTCATCGATAGATTTCCTAATAGCTTTCAGTGTCTTAGAAGGAAGAATGTTGACAATGGCTCCATTATTGACCAACACCCTTTCCACTGGCACCCCATCTAAATAAGCTCTGACATATAAAGGCCTTAGATGCCTGATGAGCTTGTCTTTTGGCTGTTGTAGCACAACCTTTTCTCCATCGACATACCTAACCACCTCAATTGATCTCAGGGGCTTGGCTCGTGTCTCAGCCATTGCTATCTGAATTGCTAGTTCTATCAAATCTTCAACATCACCTGCTAGTTTATTAGGCAGATTTGGCTTGGCCTGAAACCTCTGAGGAATGGCCATAATCATATTACACTCCTTTGATAGAGGTAAAGAACCAAAATGAATTGCAGCCAACTTCTTTCCAATGTCACCACCAGAACTATTTGATTTAGCTTCATCTTCTCTAACTCCTTCATTAACATTCATGCTATCAGTGACCATTACTTGGTCCTGATCATCCTTCATTGCCACATTTTTCTTATCACTGTGATCTTCATCAAACATTAGGTCCTTCTCTAACTCTTTCAGCTTCTGCCTCAATAGAGCCTTTTCAAAAAGCTTCCTAACAGGTCTGTCATCTGCCTATTCTGGCTCCATTTCCTTTTCAGAATTTGAACTGGTTGTACTGGATGGGCCCTAGAAATTGAACCCTTCACTTCCTTTCCTCCAGCAGTAGGAACCAATCTATCTCTAGTCCATACTAAATCTTGCTTTCCAGCTAGCTTATCCCCTGCAGCTGTAGACATCATAGCATGGAACTTTCTTTATTCTCTCATTTTCTGAGTTCTTGTTTCTCCAATTGGTCTCCAACCACTCATAGGGAACTTCGGGTGACACACTCCTTGCCATCCTAGATGAGATGGTACTGGAGGCTTTACCATTTTTAGTTAAGCTAATTGCATTTTTGGCCTCACTCTTAGGCCATGATGCTGTTGTTGAAATCCCCCAAATGGTCTCACAAACTGTTGCTACCCTCCATATGGCCTTCCAGTCTGTTGATGGCCACTATGTGATGCACCAAATTGCTGTTACTGGCCACTATATGGCCTAGTCAGAACCCTTGGACTTCCATAGGGCTTAGAACCCTTGTGTTGTTTGAGCGTAACCCTCACATTACTTGATCCACCAAAGCATGGATGAACAGAAGCTCCTTGGAACAAGAATGGAGCATCATCCTTACCATAATTCTCTGCAGGACCAAATATCCCTGGGTCTGTCCCATCATAGAACAAGCAATTATTGTCAAAAATTTGCAGATCACCACTGCCCATAGTTTTGAACCTCAGGCCAACATTTTTTCCAATTTTTTGAATTCCATCAATCACAAGGGCCTTGGCTTTTTCTTTCTTAGTACCATATCTGAAAAAAATGAACATCTCACCAGGTTCTTCCTAAACTTTTGCTTCTTTTGGCATCTTCTTCATCCTCTCTTTGTGGAGCTTGTCTAATTCTACCAAGAGAACTCTAGGATTTTTGTCCTTCTTCTTTTGATCAATTGACTGGAAGTTAGTTGATACCATGTTAATCTTCACCATGTTTGGGAATAGGTCACTGTCGATTGCCATAACCCCTTTATCTTTTTTAGCATATTTCAATATTCCTTTTTGAATTAAGTCCTGCACACAATTCTGAAATGTAACACAATTGTTAGTGGAATGCCTAAAAAAATTATGCCATTTACAATACTCCTTGCTAAAGCTGTCCTTTTCTTTGGGAATATTGTGTCCAGGAGTCAAAGTTAAAAACTTGTTTGCTAACAACTCATCAAATAATGCATCTGCTTTTGATAAATCAAAAGAGTACTGCCTATGTGACATAGCCACATTCTTTTTGGCTAGTTGTGTTGCTGGCATGCTCACATGTTTACCAGCTTTCCTTAGTGTTTCACAAATCACAGGTTTTTTACCTATTATTTGAGCCATATCTATGTCGATATCCGTGTCAAACTCAACCTCTTGGTAATAAGTCCCTAATGAGGCTGCATTTCTTTGTTGCTCTTCTCTAAGAATGGCCTCATAACTAGTTGCCGTTGAAGACAACTCAAATAGGTCTTTAAACATCACACCTTCTAAATTTTTCCTAAGTTCAAAATTTAAACCTTTCTGGACTAGTCTTATAACTTCTATTTCACGCATGTACACATGACATCTGTTTTTTACCTTCTTAAACCTGTCGATGTACTGCTTTGCACTTTCTCCTTGCCTTTGTTTAAATTTTGACAAATCCACCATTGTCACTTCAGGCTCAGCTCTAAAGAACTGGGCATGAAACTGACTCTCCATGTCATGACCCGAACCCGCCCCTATAGATTAAGGTCATAACCGGCCAATAATCATGAGATTACTTACGACCTCAAACAGAAATCAATTCATAATTAATAATATGGGGCTAGATGCGGAAGTAGACTTAAAAATTTTGTCCAATGAGTTGTGCTTACATGGTAAATTAAAAACATTTCCCATATACTTGATAATAACTCACACCATATATTAATAGTTAACATCTTGTGCACCCAGGATCATTCAATACATAGTCAACTATACCAAAAGCTTATACACATAAATGGTCTATCATGACCAATGGAAATAGCAAAAGAAAATACAAAAGATCATAAACAAAGCCTCTTGTGTGAGGCACCTGGGCCGACTTCACAAAACTCGAGTTCTTTTCATAATCTCATTAAGGCTAGGGCTAGTCATCCCGCTGCTCACCTACACACATATAAATATAGAGTGAGCTACAGCCTAGTGAATAATATCAAAATAAAGAAATTACATGAATGAAATTCGTAATAGACATATCAAACGACCATATGCCCATTTATGTTTCCATCTAATACATTAAACGGCCTCAGGCCCAAACGTATCAAACGGCCTCGGGCCTAATACATTCTTATCAAATGGCCTCGGGCCTAATTTATTCTTGTCAAATGGCCTTTGGCCCAATCATTCATATTAAACGGCCTTTGGCCCAATTATTCATGTCAAACGGCCTTTAGCCTAATTATTCATATCAAACGACCTTTGGCCCAATCAATTATGTCAAGTGGCCTTGGGCCCAATCATTTATGTCAAACGGCCTTTGGCCCAATCATTCATGTCAAACGATCTTTGGCCCAATCATTTATGTAAAACGGCCTTGGGCCCAATCATTTATGTCAAACGGCCTTAGGTCCAATCATTTATGTCAAACGGCCTTTGGCCTAACTATTTATGTCAAATGGCCTTTGGCCTAATTATTCATGTTAACCGACCTTATTCAATCATTGTCATAACGAACCTTGTTCACAATTCAAGTAACAATCCTATGGAACTTATACAGAAGTAGACATTTAGAAGGTAGCATATTTCAAATATCCTTACTAAGATATTACTTACAGTGTTCGGAGTATTGATTCGTTCTCGTGGATGCTCATACACAATTCATAAATATACACAAATCGGATCACAATACTATTTAATCTGCTCATTGTTTAATTCTCTTAGGCTCCTTTCTAACCCTTTAATTCATTTAGCGTGCTCAATGCATGCCTAAGAGTGCCTAGAAATGAAAGAGAACGGAAAACGAAACATAAAACAACTTTTCAAAATTTCTAAAATAGGGCTCTCCGCTCGAGCGCAGCTTTGGTGGCTCAAGCGGACCCCTTTGGTCTGCAAAAGTACTGATTGCTTGTAATTCATGCTCGAGCGAGGAGTCTTTGCAAAACAGGGTTCGCTCGAGCGTAAAGTCTGTCACTTGAACCATAGTGTAAATCTCTGCAAAATTTCTAGGAGCTCGACTTTCATGCTCAAGCAACACTTTCCTCGCTCGAGCGAACAAGTTGAATTCTGGGTTTTCCAGAACTCTGTTTAAAGTTCATGACTTGATTTCAAAGGCTCAAAACTCACATTTTTTATACAAAGACATGGAAATCTTTATATAACACGATAACATAGGCAAATTGAGTCTAATTTGTCCAAAACCATGATTCAAATCCCAATTCATTTCACATTCTTCCTGACAACAGCATAATACAAGCTACCAAGCTTCATATCTTCAAGGATGACACATGCATGTAAAATATAGACTCTAATTCCATGTCAAATGATACATATGATGATCAAAATCATGAGATTTATCAAAATTATGCATGCATGTGAATTTTGGTGCTCAAATTTTCATAATCATGCACATTCATGGCAAATCTTTATATGCATAGAGACATTAACCTCAATTTCATCATATTTAGCTCAATTCTTGACCTTGGTCACATACCATTATGGGCTCACCTTTTTCCGCGCCCCTTCTTTCGGAAATGGTTTGAAAAGAAAGGCCTCACAGTTAGGACTCTCACGGTTCTGAATCTAGTCTCACAAGTGCAGTGTAAAACTGATAATCACCAAATAGTCCAATCTGACAAATCTTTTAGAAAATTGACTTTAAATAAAATAATGTCAAAATTGGACTACTTTGCCAGATACAGAGTCGACATCTAAATATTTTGTTTTTGAGAAAATTTAGGAAACCCTGACTCGTGGCAAAGGCCACGTGTCCGTCATCACCAAAGTTGCCTCAGCTCGGGAACTTGGGTACGAGGGGGGAAGGTCATGAATTGAGTACCCCCGCTCGCCCGATCAAAGATCGGCCTCTACTAACCATGATATGTCATTTTATAAGCCTTTTGAGTTCTTATTCCAGTTATTAATCTAACCTTACTATGTGATGCGCACAAGCAAATATAGACTAAATCGCAAGAATTGGAACATTTCAAGTCATGCTTGTTTTGCGAAAATGATTTGAATTTGCCACCCTCAAGTGGGCTTAAAGATGCGGATTGCCACCAAACATAGTGGGCTCAAAACAGGATTTTGCCATGACAAAGTGGGCTTAAAACGCGCATTCGTTGAATTGTTCCAATTCAAACAACAAGCCTTCATCCACAGGCATTCATGTAGTTCAGCATTTAAGCACATAACCTCATGGCAAGCATACGAAACATGACAATATGGCAATCACACTCATGCAAGTATGCTAAAGCATAAAGACTTACCGAGTACTCTAAACCAAAACAAAAACTAGTTAGAAAGATGCATGATCTTAACTATGTTAAGATGCCTAATGTAACTTATGCAATTAATAGGCTCAGCTAATAATATGGCATATGAATCAATTTGAACAACATGTTGTTGAAACACATATTTAAAGAAGTATTGAAAGTGCAATGCAGTTTGAATGATGCGCCGAGCCTCGATGCATGCAATACAAATGAATGAATGCAAAGATGAGAGCATAAGGCATGCTAATTGAAAATGTCCCTAATCTAACCATCAAAAGCGATTAAATAAAAGAGAAAAAGACGTGGGGTTGGAAGACATACACACAGGCACACACACTTATTACAACATTACACTCTCCCGAAGGAGGGTTCGAATGAATAAACTAAGCAACTAGCTACGTTAACTATTACAACACTTGAAATGAATTAACTAACTATTCTAAGCGAATTAATTATTACAAATCGGAATCGAATAACTAGTTACACTAACTAATTAATTACAACACGTGAATTAACTAGCTATTCTAAGCTAACTAAAGCGATTAAATAATTAACTATCTGCCCCTAATCAGCTAAGCAAAGCAACTAAATTGCCTTGAGGGGCAAAGGACATATGCATGCTCGGTTGGTTTCCACCCGAAAATGCCACTGCCTCACTGCTGTAAGACTCTGTTTGCACACTTGAACACCAAAGAAGCTACCAACTTCCAAAACACCTCTGCTCCCCTTTTCCATTACACTGAGCAACTTTCTTCATTGGTGGCCGACCGGCTACTTCTAGTAGCCGTCGGCCATTGCTGGTGGTCGGTCGGCCACCCTTGCCCTGAACTTCCTTTTGCTGCAACAGAGAGCAAATAGAGGCAAAACAGTGTATTCTCAAGGAGTGTTTGTACTGTTATGCTCCTTATCATCATACAAGCTCAAAGGAGTGTAACTCTTAGCCCTCAAACCATCAACCAAGCAATTCACGTGCATGATGGCTAAGGAACCAAGCTTGTATAGGCTTAATGAATGCTCAATAAGACTAAAAAAGACCACCGCCCTATTATGCATGATCAATGGTGATGGTGACCAAGGAAGTGGCATATTTCATCACTTTTGAGTATGAAATATCCCATTTTTCTTGCGTTCGAATTAACGTCCAATTCGAGCATATGCAATGCAACACGAAAGATGGTTATCTTGCCTCTTTTACTTGTTCATTTTATTTACTCATTTTACATTACCTATTCATTCTTTAATCGATTAAGTCCATTGGTGGGTGTCCTCTAATGGAGAGATGGCTCAAACAAAAAGTTGCTTTGGGTATGAAAGAGGCATTACACTGTTGGTAATGAACCCCCTAAGGGATTAAACCATTAGGTGCAACACCTCAATTCCACACTTAGGCAAACAAGTGGTTTGAAACCACTTTCAAAGCAAACGAAAGAGTGAAGAATGGAGGGAGATTGCAGAGATCTTTAGTGCTAAAATGGAGTGCAAAACAACACTAAAACATGCTTTCAACTCAAAACAATCGTGATCAAAGCATTAAAACATTAAGCTAGTGAAGGAATTAACACTACAACCATGCAATACAAGCCTCAAATGAATTAACCAGCCCAAAACAGAGCTAAAACCGGCCAAAACAGAGGCAAAAACATGCTGGACTAAAGCTAAGTTAGGTTAGAAAAACATGCTAACACATGAAGCTAACTAGGCATGCAAACAAGACACAAGGAGGGAAGGTTAACTCCTCTAATTTTGGACTTCAAAAGTTGATTTTTACCACTGAAAAACCTCTGAGATTTAGTGGTTAAAAGGCCCAAAAAAATTGATTTGAAAGTGAGGAAAAATAACACAAAAAGCTTAACAAGCTAAGGAGCCAAAATGTCGGATAATCCCCTAACTCAAAAAGGCTCAAACCACCATTTTTAGGTTACAAAAACTGAGTTTTTTACACTTCAAAAACAGCCTTAAAACAATTAAAAAAGATAGGAAGATAAGTATGCACAATAAGCTTAAATAAGGTAAGTGCTTTACCTTTGAAGCAAAGCGCAATTTAGGCACAAATCCAAGCTCAAACCTCCTTCCAAAGCTCAAACAAGACTCCAAGGGACCTCAGCTCAATGGTGGTCAAGTTTGATTAAGGGTTGGTGTGCAAAAGTGTGGAGGAACTAGGCAATCAAGCATAAAATATCAAGTGAGAGAGAGAAAGCTAGAGAGAGAGAGAGAGATATTTTTTATCCAAAATCTTCTAACCCTAAAAAATGAGGGAGGAACCCCCCTATTTATAGAAAAACAAGCCTTGAGGTTAGATACATCTCACCATATACGTGTATGAAGATGCAACTCAGTGAGCAACAGTTGACACAGCTGGCAACAAATATCTGGAAAAAGAAACCAATGACCGTCGGTCACCACTGGTAGCCAACAAGCACAAGCCATGGCCGATAGATTCTAGGGCTGGCTGACAGGTCACCCTCTCTTCCAGGATAGAGGCAACAAGCTCTTGGTTCAAAAATATACACAAAATAGATAAGGTTTAGAGGCTTAAAGACAAGACGTTTCGTCGAGGGCTTCGAGCGCTCAAAGCGAACACAAATAAGCACAATTATCGAGTGCACAAACGATGTCGTCCAAGTCCTGAGGACGGCCAAAAATGAGGTGTCTACAACCATGCTAGAATTCATGCATTTCAAACCTTCAAATTTAGAAAACATGATTGCGTGTAAGTGACAACTCCAAATTCAACATGATTATTAAAGTTCATGTCCAAAACTTGAAGAATCAAAGCAAATACTTGCACGCATGCATAATTTCGTCTCAATTCCTATAATCTTTGTTCAATTCACACATTTAATCTTGTTATCTTCTTCTTAAACCCACAATTTAATGACTTAACTCACAAATTGAGGTTCAAACTCTTACCTACTATCTTTAATGAGGCTAGGTTTAGCAATTTCTTGAGCCTAGGTTCCAAAATCTTCAATCCTCCAAGCCAATACCTCAAGATCGAGCTTCTATCTCACTAAGATGAAGATATCTTTCTCTATATAACTTAATCTCAGTAAAATGGTGAAGATGAGCTCAATTTTTATGAGCCTAGGCACTAACTCAACATATATATAGTGGGTGATTAGCTTAAGTTAATTAAGCATGATTAAGACTAATCAACCTTACTTAATTTAAAATCTAATTAATTTGATCCGAATCAATTTTAATTAAATTTTACCATAGACTTTAAAAATTACGCTGATCACAATAAACTAATCAATTTTGGTTTCTGACGCCTTTACAACCCTCAATTTCGGACTATAGCAGGAATTGTAACAGATATGTCTACAATCAACAGATAGGTATTCAAAAATCACATGAATACATAATTAACATCAAACTTCATATCAAACACATTAACACTCATATAATTAATGAATTAGCAGTGTAATACGGATCGGGGTTGTCACACTCCATTTCTTGCCAAGTATGAACTAAATTTTCTGGCAAGTTAATAAACTACGTAAATGCCATTTTCGACAGAGAATGAGGAAAGAGTTTTAATTTTAAATTGTTATCATAGCCAGGTTCTCCACATTGGAGTATGAACTTGCCTACATGCTCCATGGTTGATTGTCTCTCTTCCCCTATAAATAAAGTAAACTCAGGAATCCTATAATTTCTTGAAATGGGGGTTGTTTCTACTCATGAAGCGTAAAGACTTCTAAACATTGGCCTATTTGGCCTTCTCAGGCCTGGGCCATATATTTCTTGTATGATGTTCATTATTTGCTGCTTGCTATTAATCTGAGGGTCTAAGTATTGTTGTTATTGTCCTCCTCCTTGGACTTCTGGTTGGAATGAAAGAAAAGGGGAACCAAGCCCTCTAGGCCTTAGATACATCATGTTAGGTTCATAATATGGTCGATCCATGGCATGGTCTCGTATATTCTGAGGCCTTACTTGATTAATTGGCCTATTTCTTTGTTCTGCCATAGCCTGATAACCTGCTACAGGCCCATCAAATGCTTGAGTACCACACATTTGTCGCCTTGATTACCTCCCAAGTCTCATTCCTATATTATTTAAGTTGTGATTAAACATTGAGTTTGTAGGGTATTCCCTCTTAAACCCAGGATTTCTGGTCATTCCCTCCTCATATCTTTCTTGAAATGTGGGATGTCTATAAAATGACACAGGTTCATTTACATTTTCATGTTGTTGAGGGGCTACAGGAGGTATGAATTGTGCTTTATTTACCTGAGTCTCATCCCCAACCCTTCTTGATTGGCTAGGCTTGATGTTAGCCTTCTCAAACAAAGCCAGCAAGTCATCTATCATCACTTGGTTCTCATATGCAGACATAGAACCAATTGTTTGCTGAGTATGCAATAGAAGAGCCCTTCTTGAATCAACAGGGGGACAACTAGACTGGCCAGTTTTGGCCACATTTCCTTGGCCTATTTCCTATCTGGCCACTGCATGGCCATCACCTAGGTTGTCCTGCACTGCTTCAAGTCCGTCATCCAACTCTTCTCCATTTTCAACTCTTTTCTCAAGGTCTTCAAAGATTTCGTGTTATTTCTTCTTAGCCATCACTCCAAATTAGACAGGTCCCACTGGGCGTGCCAAAATATGTTAGCAAAACTCTAGTTTAGGTCAAATTGACAGAGGTGATTTGACAGAATAACCAAAATTTTACACACAACAAATAGATCAAGCAATTGTGGTTGATGTCTTATGCCTTGACAGATTCAAGGACTTCTTTGGAGGTTGTAATGCGAAGAAACAAGTATGAACAAACTGAGAATCAATTGAAGAACAACTAAACCTGCCACTTAATTACAAGAATTAAATTTCAAGTTTAATGAACATAACAATCGACGGAGGAAAACTTATACACAGAAGCTGAATTACAAACAGACTATTCCTAAGTACGGAAGCTATTGCTAACTAAGTTAAATAACTTCTAATTCCACATAGGTTGTGAATTTGATTGAAGATCCTCTTTTCTTCGAATTTCCAGCCTTTATGTTGTTGGTCTTGCTACTTCTCTGCTGCCGCGTGTCCCATCCTAGAGCAAGTTACCTCCACTTCCTGTATAACTGCTCATGATCACCATAACCACTGGTAACTGCTTCTTTGCTACAGCATCCTCTTTCTCTTGCAAATAAGACACATATCCTGCATCCCTTGCATGCCTATCTTCATGGCTTGACACCTGGGCTACGTTTGGCCACATCTTACTGCATTACTAGATAAATCAACAGGAAAAATTGCAACTGCTACATCTGCTTCTTTAACTGTTTCACTTCTATCACTTGCTCTGCATTTTGGGATCCACCTCTCATTGTAAATTTTTAATCTTTACTCGTAGCATTCACTGAACCAACTCTCTGTATTTGTTATGCTTATTCGACAGAGAAGATAAATTTTAGTGCCAACAATCACATATTTGGTGAATTATTAGACAAAGAAAATGATACAAGAAATTCGTTTAGCAAACTATTTTTAAAAATTATTTTTGAGATTTTTTTTTCAAAATGCTAAAAAAATATTATTAAAAAAAATAAGAAAACATTAATTTCGTTTGACGATTATTTTAATATTTTTAAAAAAATTTATAAAAAATATATATTATTTTTATATATAATATATATATATATATATATATATAAATATTTGAATTAATTATATATAACTAAATAACACATTAAATTAATTAAATATCACATTAAATTCTCATCTATCCACACAATTAATAAAACCCAAAATAAAATAAAGTAATAATAATAATAAATAAATAAATAAATAATGACTTACGAAAAATTAGGGTCACTACAGAAGCACTTTCTTGAACAAAACTTGCAGTCCCTTTTCACTTATGTGTCTGAGAAATATTTTTTCACAAATTTTTTACTTTTTAGATACATCTAAGTAAGGTGTATCTAAAAAAGTAAAAAAAAAAATATTTAAAATTTAAAAAATATTTACTAAAAACAAAAAAATACAAAAATTAAAAAAGTCAATTTTCAAAAAACTTAATTCAAAAAACTCAAACCAAACACACTTACCCTTATAACCACTTTTTAACTGAAATAAGCTGATCCATGTTTGATTTAACAAGTTTCGAATTGCATCACTTCGACGCAGACTCACTCTCTCTCTCTCTCTCTCTCTCATCTTCCATATCCATAGCCCACTATCAACCTCCAATCATGCTTAGATCAACCTTCACTCCCCTTCTCCACACCATCCCCTCCAAACCCAAACCTCCAAACCTATTTTCTCACTCCATCTCCATTTCACTCTCACAATCCCCACCAACTGTTCGACAAAATGCCTCGCCCACCGCCACCACCACAAACCCACTTCACAATCTCTCTCCAACTTCCGCCTACATCCACCTCCCTTTCTGCCGCAAACGCTGCTACTACTGCGACTTCCCAATCGTCGCTCTCGGCTCATCTTCAACCCAAACCAACGATATCAACGACCCACGAATCTCCAACTACATCCACCTCCTCTGCAGAGAAATCAAGGCCACAAACTCACAATTCAACCACAACCCACCTCTCAAAACAGTCTTTTTCGGAGGGGGTACGCCATCTTTGGTACCGCCGAGGCTCGTTTCGTTAGTCCTTGAGACATTGAATTTGAAATTTGGGTTGTGTTTGGATGCTGAGATTTCCATGGAAATGGATCCAGGGACGTTTGATGTTGTGAAAATGAAGGAGTTTATGGGGTTGGGTGTGAACAGAGTGTCTTTGGGAGTTCAGGCATTTCAGGATGAGTTACTCAAGGCTTGTGGGAGAGCTCATGGGGTTGAGGAGGTTCATGAGGCAATTGGGGTTGTTGGGACATGTGGGGTTGAGAATTGGAGTATGGATCTGATATCTTCTCTACCTCACCAAACTCCACAAATGTGGGAAGAGAGTTTGTTGCTCACCATCAATGCAAGGCCTAAACATGTATCTGTCTATGACTTGCAAGTTGAACAAGGGACCAAATTTGGGATACTGTAAGTGGAGTCAAGGGCCTCCTAACCTTGATGAGACTAAGGCGAAATTTCAATGAGTAGCTTTATTTATTTACGTTTAAATAATATTTTTTATATCCTTTTAATGTAAAAAACAATTTTCTCTTCTATTTTTGTAATGAAAATTCGAGATTATTCACAACCTGATTTTTGACAAGGAGTGTATATTTATATTATCGATATATATTTTTTAATCTAGGTCTTTGGAAAAGTAAATTTTGTTTTTTTATCATATTTTTTAACAATGTGGGTTTTTTAAAATATTTATTTTTGGACAAGAATGTGTTTTTTTGGGATAAGAAATTTTTGTATGAGACTTTACTGTCAGGGTTTTGTTTGGGCAAGAGTGAGTTTTATTATTATTATTATCATTATTTTGCTTTCAGCCCTGAGTGATTTGGTATTTTTAACACTTACACATACACTACTGTCAAGTATGGAACTGACACTGGATTGTTTACAGATACTCACCGGGGGAGTTCCCTCTGCCTTCTGAAACCCAATCGGCAGAGTTCTACAAAACGGCTTCAAGAATGCTCTCAGATGCCGGTTACAACCACTATGAAATCAGCAGTTACTGCAAGGACAATTTCGAGTGCAAGCACAACCTAACCTACTGGAACAACAAACCATTCTATGGTTTTGGCCTTGGTTCTGCCAGTTTCTTGGGCGGATTCAGATTTTCAAGGCCAAAAAAGATGAAAGAGTATGCAGGTTACGTTCAAAATTTGGAGGACGGGGTAGTGGGGCTTAGTGAGGATAGTTTTCCCAATCCCAAGGACATGGCCATGGATGCTGTGATGCTCTCTTTTAGAACTGCCAAAGGGGTGGACTTGAAGTCCTTTAGAAAAACATTTGGTACTTCTCTTGTTCACTCTCTTTGCAAGGCCTATAGACCTTTTGTGGAAAGTGGGCATGTGGTTTGTTTGGATCGGAATAGAAGGGTTATAACAACAGATCGTTTCTGTGCATTGTTATCTGATGAGGAAGCGATAGAAGAGACCATGGCTTTTATTAGGCTCAGTGATCCCGATGGTTTCCTTCTATCGAATGAGCTAATATCCCTTGCATTTCAAGTCATAGCTCCATGAATCAAACTTTTTTGTTCTTGATCCTAACTAGACAATAGTGTCGTTGGATGTAATTAGCTTCACCCTTGGAACGTATCATCTATTCTCTTTAGCATGTTCTTGACTTGACTAGAACATGCTAGCTCCTACTACTCCTCCATCCTTGTTGGTCCTTTGTTATAGTGGTCAGTGAATTCTCCGATCTCACCATTTGACCTTAAACACAAAGAAACCTCCGGCTTTTAAAGAATCTTTCCTTTTCAATTTTGCAGAGCTTTGGGGTGCTTCTCGTTCCTCTTCCTACACTTGACAACCCGTTGTGTAATGGCTCGCCACTCCTTGTTTGTTTTGTAAGGGGTCAGCTGGTGAGGGAAAACTGTATCTATGCAGAGCTCAGTGTATGTATATTCTGTTTTCTTTAATCCACGGATAATACTTGTCCCACTTGAGGATTCTGGGTTAATGTTTCTGTTTGAATGTAAAAATAAAGATCTTGAAAGAGAGAGATTGTTGTTGCCCTTGGATTGGACTTACCTTGATATGATTGCGAGTCTGTGACATGAATAAATATTTGTTTGTAGTGCTTGCTTAAGAGCACCCATAGTGGTTGGTGTAGTGCACAGTTCCTTCTATTTCTATGTTTCATCATTTGTGCTAGCATGGCAATAGGGGTTTGTAATCTCCCGTCCCTCAACTATGTCATGCTGTTTTGAAAAGTTGGTAAAAAGTTAATTTTTTGATTTTTTTAATTTATTTTATCTTTTTGTATATAAAAACTGTGAGGTGATATGACTCAAAATGGATAAAAAATTAAAAGCTTTTTTTTTTTTTTTTTGCTTCTCAAAAGACCCCATCATATTAGGGCAGAATAAATTAGGTTGGTGACAAGAGCAAGCCGGGTGGATACAATATTAATAAAAATTTAAAATAATATAATATATTATGGATACTAATTTAAAATTAATGAAAGTTAAAATATGTTAGATGAGAAATAAATCAGTGAAAATAAATTGTAAGTGTAACATTTAGGGTGAAGTACCAATGTCTCAAAATGTCATTTTGTGAATTGTTTGCGTTTGGTAGAGTTTTGTAAATATGATTTGAGAGTATGAGTTGTATTTTGATTTTGTGAGTTGTGGAATTATGATTTTAGTGTAGAAAATTTGTTTGGTTATGGTTTTTGAATAGAGTGTTGAATTGAGTTTTGAATTGTATGTGGAATTGAGTTTTGAAAGTTTGATTTGGCATATGAAATAAGAAAATTTGTTTGGATATGAGTTTTGGAAAGAGTTTTCAAAACTTAATTCAAATTGTTATAACTCATAACAAAACACACTACTTTCACACTATTGAAAATTCTGATCAACACTCATAACCAAATTCTTTCTAAAATTCAATTAAAAAATTTTATTATTAACAGAAAATAACATTAATCAATTTTTTAATTGAAAATACTACAAAGGAAATAATTTTTTTTCAAAATAAATATTCAAAAAATTTAAATCATAAATATTTAAATAATTTAAATAATCTAAAAAATTTAATAAGTAAAAAATTAAAATAAATATTGAAAAAATCTAAATCGTAAAAATTTAAATATTCAACAAGTAAATAATTTAAATATTCAAAAAATTTAAATAATTTAAAATTTTAATATTTTAAATTTAAAAACAACTCTACACTCAAATCGTAACCAAACGCATAAAACAAAACTCAATTAAGAAATTATTTTTAAAACTCATAACCAAACACATAACTCGAAACTCCATACTACTTTCACAACTCTACACTCAAATCGTAACCAAATATATAACAAAAAAATTAAAATATTTAAAAATATTTTTATAAAATAGAGTTTGAATTTATTTTTATAAATATTTAAAAATTTAAAAAATTAAAATCGTAATATTTAAAAATTAAAATATTTAAAATCCTAACAAAATTAAAATATTTTTAAAATATTTCATATTTCAAAAATTAAAATATTGATTTGAATTGAGTTTTGAAAAGAGTTTTGAATTATTTGTTTGGTTATGAGTTTTGAAAAGTAATAATTATATTTTGAATTGACTTTTGAGAAATGGATGTAGAATTATGATTTGAAAGTTCAAAACAAACACCACACTCAAATCAATGGGTAGAACTATAATTTGAGTGGCTTACCAAACGGAGAGTCTTTCATTTTTTCTTATGAACCTAAAAGTCTCATTGAAGTGAAAATTACATAAAACGATAGTCCCTTACATGTTTAAGTTTAATTTTTTAGAAATAAAAGTTGATTTCTCCAAATGTAAAATTACACATTTGGGCAATCTACACTATAAAAGTTTTGAGTTGCGTTTGGTAGAGTTTTGGAATTATGATTTGATAATAGGATTGTATTTTGAGTTTGTAAGTTTTGGAATTATGATTTGAGTATGAAAAATTTGTTTGATTATAAGTTTTGAATTGAGTGATGTGACATATGATATTTGATTCAAAAATTTATAACTCATAACCAAACACACAACCCAAAATTCAATTCAAGGCTCATAAAAAAATTTTAAAAAATTTTCAAAATATTTTTTATTTAAAATATAAAAATAACATGTGCCAAAAAACAAAAAATCACGAACACTGTTTCGGTCAACCGGTCGGACGTCCGAGGGGACGACCGAGAGGATGGACCGGGTAGACGTGTTTTGAAAAATGGGTGTGGAATCAATTTTTGAAAATTGTAAACAAACAGAGCCCTTAAATCATGTTGTGGAATCATATTTGGAAAGCTCCACCAAACACAAGATTTTCTCTTCTTCTAGAACAAATCCCACATTACGAATAAAAACGTAATACTTCAATAATGTAACACTCCAATGTAACATACTAAACAATTCCTTGGTAAACTTTTCTCAAACGTAACACCATAACATTAAAAAAATTCCTTAATGTACTTTTCTTAAATATAGTCCTCCAATATAACACAAACGTAACACTCCAATCAATGTAACACTTCAATCAATGTAATCCCAAACGTAACATTCCAATGTAACATGCTCCAATGTAACACACACAAAAATAATAAAAACTCCTTATTATACTTTTTTCAAACGTAATACTCACAGTTTGAAATTATATATTTGTCCAAAACTTACTAATGAATTTTTATATTCCTTTTGGAATGGTTTGAAGAATCCCACATCTTTTTTTTGGAGTGTTACATTAGAGTGTTACAGTAAGGAGTTTTTTTGAAGTGTTACGTTTGAAAAAGTAAACTAAAGATTTTTTGTTTTTTTGTATTACATTAGAGTTTTACACTAAGGAGTTTTTTGTATATTACATTAGAGTGTTATATTGGAGTGTCACGTTTGGAAAAAATACATTAAGGAGTTCTTTTGTATGTTACATTAGAGTGTTACACTAAGGAAAGTCATTTTTGTACTCCTTTTGAAATGTTTTCCAAATAAAAAGATTATCATATAAAAATTCATCCCAAATTCAATTTTTATATATTGTGTACCTTACCTTTCTAACACAAAAGAGAGAAAAAAAAAATAAAAAAAAGGGTATAATCGTAAATTTAATTTTCAAATAATATATTAAATCTATATTTCTAAAATTAATGGGACTGATTGGTCTATAAAAAAATCTTGAAACTAAATGGATCATCATTTATAGCGATCCCGGTTGTTCCTTTTCTGTTCAGTTGTATTCCGGACTTAGTTCCGTGGAGTTAGTAGTTGTATTTATCTTATTGTCGTCCTTAAATCCATTGGTTTAAGTTTTAGGATGTGTTGGGCTTGGTTGTTATAGGTTGGTAAAGCTTTGGCTCCCATCGTTGTTGCTCAGTTTTTGAATGGTCCGCTCGAGCAGGTCATTTTGTGCTCGAGCGGGGTTTACACCCTTCCAGCATTTCGTGTCCCTGCAAAACTTCTGCAGGTGTGTTTTCTATGCTCGAGCGGGTTTCTTGCGTTCGAGCGGGTCGAGCTCAAGCGGGCTTGTTGGCGCTTGAGCGGGTAGTACCTTGTTGGTGAAAGTTCTGGGAGATGAAAATCTACGCTCAAGCGGACTGGTCTTTCGCGCTCGAGCGGGTGTGCTTTGTCTTTGTGTCTTGGCGCTCGAGCAGGCATTCTTGCGCTCGAGCGGACCCAGTTTTCTATTCTTGACGCTCGAGCGTCCTGTTAGCCGCTCGAGCGGGAATGTCGTATATCAGTTGGCAGCTGGGCGTTTTAAAATCACTTTTTACATTATCTCTCTCTCTCTCTCTCTCTCTTACTTTCTAAAAACACTTTTGAGAGCTTCTCTCTCTAGGATCTCCCTTCTCTCTAGGGTTTGATCTAGTTCGACTGTCCCCTTACCCTTCGGCCTTTGTGAAAAGTATGTTGATCGTCGAGGGTTTCGTTTTGATCCGTGGATCTTGGTATTTGGAACATTTTGGTTTTCTTCAACTTCCCCGTTTGAGCTCTAACTTCGAGGTAGGGATATCTTACTCCTCTTTTTGAGCTTTGTCTTTGAATTTTAGCATTTTGATATGTTGGGGGTTGTTAGGTAATTTTGAGAAAGTTTGGGTCTTTGTGTAGTTTTACAAAAGATGGGGTTTTATTTATAATTAAACCTATATGCATGTTTGGCATAGAGAAATGAGATAGATGATGAACTGTGGATGAAAATGGAACCTTGGAGTTGTTATGTTAATTATGGGAAAATGCCCTAATTAGTTGGATAAATTAATTTGTATAATTAATTTTGAGAAATGAGGAATTGAATTGAGAATATTCAAATTGAAAGGTTATGGGATTAAAGGGGTGTAGTTGGATCATTTATCACTCACCTAGTTGATATGTTGATATTTTATCCATTTGGTGCGCTTATTTTCTGTTTAGAAATAACTGCTTTGGGCTATCGGTGGAGGATAGTCTTGATTGTTGTAGACAATGCATGATGATTAGGCAAATTAAAACTAATCGATTGAGTAGGTTATCGAGCATAGCGGTTAGATTAATACATCAACTTTATGTATTGATTGTTTATGTATATGATCTATGTTTATATACATTGTGTGTGTGAGAGGAGATAGGGGGTGTACTCCGCGATTTAGGAGAAGATAGGGGATGGACCTCTAAATCGGATTGTGTGTGACCTTGATACAGCACTACAATGTGTATCGAGCATTGATTATGGAAGTGTTTAAATTGATTTGATATAGCACTAAAATGTATATCGTTATCAATTGTGAAGTATAGAAGTGTTTCTATGTTATGTTGATACAGTACCAAAATGTGTATTGTTCGTACAGTATGGAAGTGGTTTATGTGTTATTGATACAGCATCAAAATGTGTATCCGTTATGAATTTCGAAAGTGTTTTAAAGATGAGTCTTATTCTCATTAAGTTATTTGGCTAAGTTTTGGACCTTGTTGTCAAACTTAAGGTTGAAAAAGAAATGAGAAATGAAACGTAACATGGACTTAAATGTCATGGAATTGGAATGTGATATAAGTGGGTGTACCGGTGTTGACCATCTGTCAACTGCTAATCTTTTAGGCATTGTTCATAGCTGGTTTAGTATATCTTTGTTGGGCTGTGACTCACCCTTTATGGGACATCATTTTCAGGTACAGGTAGCATGCCACCTCCAAGGACATAGCTTGGGAGGCTAGAGGCAGACAGGC